ATTTGTTTTACTGAATGGCTAGACTTGTGAACAGGATGAATATGTTAATAATGCAGATTAGATTTATAAATATGTAGTGTCTAGGCTTTGGCACTGTAAATAGCACAAAAATAGTTGAGAGAGGGGACCAGGAGATGATGTAGTTATAGGTAGCTGGGCTCCCACATGGTCAACCATGGTTTGAGTCCTAGACCGGGTGGATTAAAACTCAAGCTGGGGGACCAGCAGGTGGTGTGGTAGTCGAGGGTGCTGGACTACCAAATGGCCAACCATGGTTTGAGTCCTGTACCTGGTGGCTTGCTTTCTCACTTTTTCACTCTCTCACACTCTGTCTCTTTCTGGTCACATGCCCAGGATCCCAGGAGGAGAATGGATTAAGGTGTGGTCACCCCCCATGGGGGGTGATTTCTCACTTTCCGTCTCACTGTCCCTGTCTCTCTCTAGTGAGAGCACACACCCTAATGTAAAAACCTCTACAGGAAAAAAAATTTGAGAAAATATTTAGAATTTAATGTCATCGTTTACCAAAGTCATACACATGACCGAAGAGTGATCTTCCAACACATTGTTGATATTTGCCATTTTTTAGATTTTTAAATTTTAACTTTATTATTTAAAAAAAATTTAAAGTAATTATTTTATTTCACTTTATTTTATTTTAATTTGACCAGATAGGGACAGAGTGAGAGAAAAAGAGATGGAAAGTGAGAAGAAAGCCACCGGTCCAGGACTTGAACCTTGGTTGGCCATGTGGAAGTCCAGTGCCCTTAACCATCATGCCACCTGCTGGTCCCTTAACTTTATTATTTTATTTTACTTTATTTTTGTAATTTTTAAAAAGAATTATCTCATTTAACTTTATTTATTTATTTTAATTTGACCAGAGAATGACAGAGTGAAAGAGAAAGAAAAGGGGAGAGAGGGAGGGAGGGAAAGTGAGAAAGCAAGCCACCAGGTCTGGGATTTGAAGCGTGGTCAGCCATGTGGGAGTCCAGTGCCCTTAACCATCATGCTACCTGCCAGCCCCTTATTTTTGTAATTTGACCAGATGGGGACAGAGTGGGAGAGAGAGAGAGAAGGAAAGTGAGAAAGCAAGCCGTTAGGTCCGGGACTCGAACCGTGATCAGCCAGGGTTGTGGGAGTCTAGCACTCTTAACTACCATATCACTTGCCAGCCCCAATAGTTGCCATTTTAAAAAAGAATTATTTAAATTTGATCAGAGAGACAGAGAGAGAAAGAGAAAGTGAGAAAGCCCCCAGGTCCAGGATTCGAAGTACAGCTGGCCATGTGGAAGTCCTGTGTCTTAACCACCTCACCCCCTGCCTGCCCTAATATTTGTCACTTTTTTTTTCTTAAAAAAAGGAGAATATCAGCCATTATCCATTTAATAGACTAGTGTTATTGACATTTATGAAGGAAGACACACAGGTGGCAAATAGGTTAAAAAAATGCTCATCACAAAACAATGGAGGAATGCAGTTAAAACCACAGTGAAATGACATTACACGCTTACTAATAAAGCTAAAATAAAAAAAGATTGACCATACCAAATATGGACAAACTTGTGGAGAAATAGGAACAGTGATATACTGTTGTTGGAACGGTAATCGACACAGCCAGTATAGATCACAGAATAGATTTATTTATCTTTGAGATAATTTTTTGCTATAGAGCAGGTGTGCTTGCTGGAGCGACAGAGACAGAAAGCGAGAAATCACCCCCTAGAAGGGTGGCCATGCCACAATCCCTCCCCCCACCTTCTCCTCTTGGGATTTTTGGGCATGCATGCACAAGTGCCCAACATGAGTTCAAGCCACTGGGTCTGGGACTCAAACTGCTGTCAACAATGTGAGAGTCCAGTGACATAACCCCATTACATCATCTGTTGGTCCCAGTGTAGCAAATTCTTAAAAAGTGAAACATTCATCTAATCTTAAGTATTAGTATTGGCAATTTAAAAAAATAAGTTTAAAGTATGTCCACATGAGGAATTGTATGTCTTGGTGCTGTAGGTGGTATGGTGATAGGTGATAAACTCCCACATGGCCAACTCTGGTTCAAGCCCTGGTCCTGGCAGCTTGCTTTCTTATTTTCCCTTTCTCTGGTCAAATTAAAAAATAATACTGGGCCAGCAGGTGGTGTGGTGGTTAAGGGCGCTGGACTACCACATAGCTGACCACGGTTTGAGTCCTGGACCTAGTGGCTTGCTTTCTCACTTTCTCTCTCTCTCTCACTGTGTCTCTCTCTGGTCAAATTTAAATAAATAAATAAAGTTAAATAAGCTAACAAAAAAAGTTGATAAAATTAAACAAATCATTCTTTTTAAAATAAATCATTCTAAAAAAATTGTATATCAATATTCATTGCAACTTTATTTTTAATTCAGATTTATTTATTTATTGTTTTAAGGAATTTTCCATAGGGCACATGCACTGACCAGAGAGACAGAGAAAGAGAAGGAAAGTGAGAAAGCAAGCTGCCAGGTCTGGGACTCGAACCACAGTCGGTCATATCAGAGTCCAACATCTTAACCACTACACCATCTGCTGGCCCCACTGAAGCTTTATTGTAACAACCCCAAATTGGAAACAACCCAATCCCACTAGTTGACTGCACCACTTGAGTTCTAGACTCACTGGCTTGGAAAACATGCCAAGTGCCTGTGTATGCATGCCCAAAATCCCAAGAAGAGAATGGAGAAGGGAGTGTAGCCTGGTCATCCCCTCCTGGGAGAAGATTTCTCACCTTCTGTCTCTCTCCAGCTATCACAAACATGCCCTATGGCAAATTTAGAGAAACAGGCAGGTCACCAGATGGTACAGTGGTTATGTCGCTGGATTTCCACATGGTTGACAGCAGTTTGAGTCCCAGACCAAGTGGTTGAGACTCAATCCAGTTGTCTATGTATGCATGCGTGGATCCTGGGAGGAGAATGGAGGAGACGAGATTGTGGCGTGGCTACCCCTAGGAGGTGATTTACCACTTTCCCGCTCATCATCTCTCTCTTCAACAAGATCAAACACCCTAAGGCAAAAACATCGACCAAAAAAAACCCCCACACAGGCAATGAAATTTTAAAAGTTTAATACGCACATAAGCAACATTAATGAACTAAAAGTTACTTAGTGAAAAATAGAAAAAATGTACTTTGATTCCATTCATATAAAACTCTAAAAAAATGAAATCTAATCTACTGTAAAAGAAAACTACCACTCAAATCTAAGGAAGGCACTGAGATTATAAAAGGATAGAAGACAGGGACCAGCAGGTGGCATGGAGGTTAAGACGTTGGACACTCCCATATGGCTGACCATGTTTTCAGTCCCAGACCTGAGGGCTTGGTTTCTCACTTTCCTTCTCTCTGTGTCTTTCTCTTGTCAAATTAAAATAAATGAATGAATAAATAAAATGAAGTAATTCCTTTTTAAAAAGATACAAGCTAAATCGTGAATATGTTCATTATCAAAATTATGATGGTTTTAAAACAAAACTTGTCAAGTTTTATTTTTATTTATTTTATTTTATTTTTTTTTTGGAGAGATTTTCACTGTAGGGCGCGTGCGCTCGCCAGACAGACAGAGAGAGACATAGAGACAGAAAGCGAGAAATCACCCCCCAGGGGGGATGGTCACGCCGCAATCCCTTCTCCTCCATTCTCCTCTCGGGATCTTGGCCACGCACGCACACGTACCCGGCGTGAGTTTTAAGCCACCGGGTCCGGGACACGAACCGCGGTCGACTACGTGGGAGCCCAGCGACATAGCCATTACGCTAACTGCTGGTTCCCAAAACTTGTCAAGTTTTATATCATAAATACATACAGGTTACTGTATGTACTACTTATTTATTTATTTATTGGAGAGATTTTTTGCTATAGGGCGCGTGTACTCACTAGAAAGACAGAGAGAGACTGAGAAACAGAAAGTGAGAAATCACTCCCCGGGGGGATGGTCACACCACAATCCTTTCTTCTCCATTCTCCTCTCAGGATCTCGGGCATGTACACACACGCCTAGTGTAAGTTTAAGCCGTCGGAACTGGGACTCAAACTGTGGTTGACTACACAGGAGTCCAGAGACATAGCCATCATGCCAACTGCTGGTCCCACTGTATGTCCACTTAAGAACCACCACTTTTTGTTTGTTTGAAAGGTTTTTGCTACAGGGTGCATGCACTTGCCAGAAAGACAGCGATAGAGACAGAAAGTGAGAAATCACCCCCCCCCCCAGGGGGGATGGCCACACCACAATCCCTTCTCCTCCATTCTCCTCTTAAGATATTGGGCACGCACACATATGTGCCTGGCTTGAGTTTAAGCCACCGGGTCCAGGACTCGAACCACGGTCGACTACATGGGAGTTCAGCAACATAGCCATTACACTAACTGCTGGTCCCAAGAACAATCACTTTTTTTTTTTTTTAATTCAAAATAAAAGATCTGAACCTACCACTTTTTTGGAAACTGGAAGGTTTAGCACCTCTTGTTGACTCTACTCATGTGACTTCCCCACCCTTTCTCATGCTGGCTCCTCTACTCCCTATTAATCACACCCAGTATTTTTGTAACAACTATAGTTCACACCTGGCTCCTGTACTCTACAGGTGACACCAGCCTATGGAATAGAATTATCTACATCAGGGCACATGGCTCTTTGTGGAACCTGATGAAAAGCTTCCCTTTAACACTTGACATTATATGACATCTTAACAGAACAAATTCAAGTTATTCCAAAAAGCACTGAAAGTACTCTTAACCGCTGACCCCTCTTTCAGGGTGACCTCTGGTCTCAAAAAATGATGGATGTGTCAAGGCCCCAAATTAGCCCCAAGGTCTGGGTAGGAATGCAAACTAAGCAAAATGTATTAACTACTCTGCCATTATGGTATCCTTACTGATGTACACAAAGTAGGGGATGCATAAAAGTGGTCCAACCTTTCATACAAAGTTCATTTCTGTATTCCACTCATGCAAAGCAGTAAAAGAGAACTCCTCAAAAAGTAGATGAAATAAGAAGGCCTTTATTCGTAGATAAACCAAAGCTAGACAGAAGTTACAGGCTAGTGATATGGAGTCTGTATGATACGAGGGTCATATGAGACCAAAATTTTCTGATAAGGTAAGCTTTCCCCACAAGCCTCCAACTAAACCTGTAGTGGGTCCTCTTGTCTAAAGCAGTTAGGTCCCTGGTGTACTCAGTAAAAGGTAATAAAATCACATTAAGGGTTCAGGTTACTCAAAATTTTCTCCAGGGAATAGGAAGAACAAAAATATCTTCCTTGCCTTAGTATGTTGATGTACTGAAGATGTAAAGAGGGGAGATGGCATCTATGAGAGAATGTGACAGTCATCTAACTTTAGCAAGGGCCTGAGGCAGTTTAGAATATGTATAACAGCTCCTATAAAGTTTCATATATTCCTGAAATTTGTGGGGAATTTCATCTCTGGATGTCTAGAAGTCTGAGGTTCAACTTCAAGCAAATGGCTCCCCGACAAAGGTTCTCTAGTACCAATATGCTGAGCAAAGAGTATGTTTCCTGCAGTTATAAGACATTTCTCAAGTGTGGATTTTCTGCTGCTAAACAATGCTGGACCTTGGCCTGAAGGATTTCCCACATTTGTTGCCTTCATGAGGTCTCTCCATCATGTGAGATTTTTGGTGTTGAAAGAAGCTGGAGCGTTGGCTAAAAGACTTCCCACACTTGCTGCATTCATAGGGCCGTTCTCCAGTGTGAACTACCTGATGTTGAATGAGGACAGACTTTTGCCTAAAAGATTTCCCGCACTGGCCACACTCATATGGCCTTTCTCCAGTGTGAATTCTGCAATGCTGAATAAGGCTTGTGCTTCGACTAAAGGAATTCCCACATTCTCCACACTTATAAGGCTTTTCTCCAGTGTGAACTCTCTGGTGTTTAATGAAGGCAGCTCTTCGGCTAAAGGACTTCCCACACTGACCACACTCATAAGGTCTTGCTCTAGTGTGAATTCGCTGATGTTCAACAAGGCTATAGCTTTGCCTAAAGAATTTCCCACACTGACCACACTCATAAGGCCTTTCTCCAGTGTGAGTTCTCTGGTGTCGATCAAGTTTGGATTTGTACCCAAAGGCTTTCCCACATTCTCCACATTCATATGGTCTTTCTCCGGTGTGAACTCTCTGGTGTCTAATGAGGGTGGCTCTTTGGCTAAAGGATTTCCCACACTGGCCACACTCATAAATCTTTGCTGTAGTGTGAATTCTGCGGTGTTCAATGAGGCTGAAGTTTTGTCTAAAGAATTTTCCACATTCACCACACTCATAAGGTCTTTCTCCAGTGTGAATTCTCTGGTGTCTAATGAGGGTGGCTCTTTGACTAAAGGATTTCCCACATTCACTGCATTCAAAAGGCCTTTCTCCAGTGTGAATTCTGCAATGTTCAATAAGGTTGGAGCTTTGACTAAAGGATTTTCCACATTCTCTGCACTTATATGGCCTTTCTCCAGTGTGAACTCTCTGATGTATAATAAGGGTAGCTTTTTGACTGAAGGATTTCTCACACTGGCCACACTTATAAGGTCTTGCTGTACTGTGAATTCTCTGATGTTCAATGAGGCTGAAGCTTTGTCTGAAGAATTTCCCACATTCACCACACTCATATGGCCTTTCTCCTGTGTGAGTTCTCTGGTGTCGAACAAGATTGGATTTGCACCCAAAGGCTTTCCCACAATCCCCACACTCATAAGGTCTTTCTCCACTGTGAATTCTGCAATGTTCAATAAGATTAGAGCTTTGACTAAAAGATTTTCCACATTCACCACACTTATATGGCCTTTCTCCAGTATGAACTCTCTGGTGTATAATAAGAGTAGCTTTTTGGTTAAAAGATTTTCCACATTCACTGCATTCATAAGGCCTTTCTCCAGCATGGACTTTCTGGAATGGAACAAGTGAGTACTTATCACGGAAAGATTTTCCGTATTTGCTAGACTCATAAATCCTTTTTCCAATACAGACTCTTGAGTGCTCAGCAAGAGTGTGTTTAGGGCTAAAACCATTCCTGCATTCGCCTGACATATAATGATGCTTTCCACAGAGAAAGGCCTCCCCATATTTGATGATTTTGTTTAGCTTCTGTCCTTTGGGAATGGTCTGGAGCTGGAGAAGGCCCCACTTGGCCAAGAAGTCCTTTTTAATCTTCCTACAGAGGGAAGGACTCCTTGACATATGAAATATACAGCTCTTCTCAAAGGAGGCCTGATCCATGCCTCTTTTTAATGGATTTCCTGCACTGTAATGCTTCTGATTTTGTTGAAGGTTTGTGGATTTCCCAACCAAATACAGTTTCTGCCCACACAGATCACCCAGATGTAAAATGTCTTTCAGGATTGGGGGACACACCTCACAAGGGTGAGTCTTCTGGTTGGAGAAACCAGCTTTTGGAGTCCAGACCCGTGATACTCTTTCTACAGGAACACTTTGCTCAGGTGTCACTTCATCCTGCATTCCATGACAACAAACTGAAAGAAGAGAAATACCAATAAAATACATGCCAATGATGGTAGGAGTGTTTACACTGTGCTTTAAAAACTTTTTGTATAGGGCCAACAAAGAGGCATAGTAGTTAAAATATTATATACCACATGGCTGACTGCACAGTTCAAGTCCTGGACCCAGCAATTTAGAAAATACACAAAGCGAGTGTTCATGCATGCCCAAAATTCCGAGAGAAGAATAGAAAAGGAATTGTGGTATGACCATCCACCCAGGGGAATGATTTCTCACTTCCCCTCTCTCTTTTCTCTCTCTGGTGAGCACACGTGCCCTATGGCAAAAAGAAAAAGAAAAAAAACTTATGATGTTTTGACATCTTAATGTTGCTTGCGACCCATTACACTGAGGTCCACAGAGATAGCATGGGGGCAAGTGAGAGCCAGACAGGCAGTGGACAACTCTGTGCCTTGAGAAGGAAAGATAACTAAATATGGGCAAAGGAGATCCTAAGAAGCCAAAGGCAAAATGTCATATGTGTTCTTTGTGCACACTTGCCAGGAGGAGCGCAAGAAGCACCTAGATGCTTCAGTCAGCTTCTTAGAGTTTTCTAAGGTGTGCTCAGAGAGGTAGAAGACCATGTCTGCTAAAGAGAAAGCAAAGTTTGAAGATATGGCAAAGGCAGACAAAGCCTATATGAAAGAAAAATGAAAACCTACATCCCTCCTAAAGGGAAAACAAAAAAGTTCAAGGACTATAATGTACCCAAGAGGCCTTTTTTGTCCTTTTCCTATTCTGTTTTGAATATCACCCAAAAATCAAAGGAGAACATCCTGGCCTATCCATTGGTGATGTTGCAAATAAATTGGGAGAGATGTGGAATAAAACTGCTGCAGATGAAAAACAGTCTTATAAAAAGAAGGCTCGTAAGCTGAAGGGAAAATATGAAGAGGATATTGCTACATAACAAGCTAAAGGAAAGCCGGATGCAGCAAAAAAGGGGATTGTCAAGGCAGAAAAGAGCAAGAAAAAGGAGGAGGAGGAAGATGAGAAAGATGAAGATGATTATGATGATAAATAAGTTGGTTCTAGGGCAGTTTTTTATTCCTTGTCTGTAAAGCATTTAACCTCCCCGCCCACTATATACAGCTCATTCCATTTAAAGAAAAAAAAAAAACCTAAAATGTAATGCTAAGATTTGTTTTTAAACTGTACAGTATCTTTTTTTTTTTTCTTTTTTGTATAGTTAACACACTACGGAATGTGTCTAGATAGCCCTGTCCTGGTGGTATTTTCAATGGCCACTAACCTTGTCTGGTACAGTATGGAGTTGTAAATTAGCATAAAAATTTAAAGCAGATTCTTGTTGGTGCACAATACAAAGTAGTTACATAAGGGGATGGTAGTTTTTTCATCTTCAGTTGTCTCTGATGCAGCTTATACTAAATAACTGTTGTTCTGTTAACTGAATACCACTTTGTAATTGCAAAAAAAAAAAAAGAAAAAGAAAAAAGTTGCAGCTGTTTTGTTGATATTCTGAATGCTTCTGAGTAAATACAATTTTTTTTTTTAATTAAACAAAACAGAACAAAACCCAACGTTGCTGTAGAGTATCCCTCCCAGGATTAGCTGATTTTAAAAGGTGGCTGGATCCCACATCACCAACTGCACAGTTTAGTTCTGGACCTAGCAGCTTGAAAAACATGTAGGGCAGGTGTGCACACATCCCCAAAATTCAGAAATGAGAAAGATGAAGAAAAAGGGATTGCAACTTGATCATCCCCCATATGGAGTACATGTGCCCTTTGGCAAATTAAAAGAAAAAAGATAGCAAAGAATTCAGCTAGAATACAGTTCATTTGCTAATTAATGGACCTAGAGCCCATACTCCAGACTACATTTCTGTGGCTTGTACCCTCAACAACGAGGCAAAAATCTTTCATCTTAACCATCCCAGGGTGGGTTCCAAACTAGGACCATTCTTCCTTCTCAAAGTCTCTCAATGATGAGCTGTTTATCTTGCCCTGCCTTTCCTGTGGATACCTCAATAAAGGAGATAACCTAATGTTTCTCCCTTACTTTTGTTTTTGACTCCTGACTACAGAGAACTTCCCCATAATGACCTGCATATAATGTACCCTCTTCTCTCTGAAATTTAAGTAATAAATTCCTCTTTCAGTGGCATTTACCTCTCCATACCAGCACTTAGTCACTTCAACAAATCAGAATCCTACTGTGGTAAGCAGCAGTTAGCATAATGGCTATGTCACTGGACTTTCACGTAGTCGACCGCGGTTCGCGTCCCGGACCCGGTGGCTTAAAACTCACGCTGGGTGCGTGTGCATGCATGCCCAAGATCCCAAGGAGAATGGAGAAGGGATTACGGCGTGACCATCCCCCCTGGGGGGTGATTTCTCACTTTCTGTCTCTATGTCTCTCTCTGTCTGGTGAGCACACGCACCCTATAGTGAAAACCTCTACAAAAAAGAATCCTACTGCAAGTTTAAAACAATTGGCACAGTAGGCAGGGTGACTCTGTTCCACAGCAGAGGCTTTTTTCTCTTAACTACTCTATGGTTACTTCTTGACTGACTCAAGAAGGCACTGCCCGCTGTTGGTGCACTTGCACTTTGGCAGGTACCACTTTGTGCTGGGTCTTTCTTTTTTTAGTGTTTCAACCTAAATAGTTGTGGACCAAATCCAAGTCTCAGCATAAGGTATCTATTGTGTGTGGTCAGCATGTTTCTGAGCATAATCACTACATGCAACCAGTGTGTTTCTGGATACCTTAAAGTAAGGAGGGGATGGGCTCTTGCTGTATTTGCAGGGAATCAAAAGGCCAACTGGATAGCTAGTAAGCAAACAAGGCTACAAGGAAAGCAGAGACAGAGTTCCCTCTAACTAAAAATGACTAGGATGAGTCTCATCTACTGAATAGACAGAGAGCACCTGGATGGTGAGGGAGCAACACAGGCAGCTGGAGGCGACGCACTGAGCACTTAGTGGTTCCTCATTGACTTTACAGCCTATTCTCTGCCTTAATAGATGATGACGGTCTAGGCAAATCAGGTCCCTAGCTGACACCAACTTGGAATAACAACTGAGTGTCTAATACACTATGTCCCGGGGCGGGTACATACTACTGATTTAGTTATAAACTAACCAGATCCACCCCCACTTACTGTCCACTAAATACACAGCACCATCCCCACAAGAAACCATGTGACCCAATATGTGAAAATGTTTCAAAGACAAATCTTTTCGGGAACCAGCAGTTAGCGTAATGGCTATGTTGCTGGACTCCCACGTAGTCGACCACAGTTCGCGTCCCGGACCCGGTGGCTTAAAACTCACGCCAGGCACGTGTGCGTGCATGCCCAAGATCCCGAGAGGAGAATGGAGGAGAAGGGATTGCGGCGTGACCATCCCCCCTGGGGG